CCCCCCCAACTTACCAGGCCGAAGCTGAAGAACTATTCTTTGGGGTGACAGTTGTGTGATGTTTTCGTGGTAGATGTTATCTTTCAGAGGCCTGTCCTCCAAAATATGCTGCTTGCCTTGGGGATCTATGATCTCACTGGCAAGGCAGCCACGATACTCCAACTCTGGCTGAGGGGCACAACGCTCTGCGTCAGACTCTCCTGCTTGTACGAAATCCTGGGAAGAACGAGGAGGCTGTTGTTTGCAATGCTGTCTTGTTTAATCCCACCATTCAGAATTCCCATAGCAGATGAGCAGAGGGCTGTTGTTCTTCCTACTCAATACCCAAAGCTTTCAAACCAGGGGAATAGAAACTTGATGAAAATGGTATTTTCTATGATTGTAATAAATATATGATTGACTGATACAATAGTTTTTAGGGACAGTCCCAAATAGCAAAAGAGAGAATATCCACTGATAATGTCCATTAGAAGGAATTGGAATATCATTCTATGACATTCATTATTTATGAATGAAGGCAAACATAAGTATCCCAAGGTAATGTTGTAGGATTCAATCTGAGTTGGTCACCAGGATCAGAGGTTTATTCTTCCAAGCATTCAGTCTCGTGCTGCAGCCCATCCTCAAGGAACTTGTCTCTCTCCAGAATGTGGAGAGAGAGAGAGAGAGAGAAATTCCCTGAGGATTTCACAAGAGTTCTCCGCTCCTCTACTCATTGCAGAATACCTTATGCCACCAGACTTGAAACTCTAGACCTAGAAAACCTAGAACTACGCCGCCTTCGGTCCGATCTAAGTATAGTATATAAAATCATACATTGCAATGTCCTACCTGTCAATGAATACTTCAGCTTCAACCATAACAATACAAGAGCACACAATAGATACAAACTCAAGGTTAACCACACCAAACTTGATTGCAGGAAATATGACTTCAGCAACAGAGGGGTCAATGTCTGGAATACTCTACCTGACTCTGTGGTTTCTTCCCCAAACCCCAAAAACTTTAACCTTAGACTGTCTACTATTGACCTCACCCCTTTCCTAAGAGGTCTGTAGGGGGCGTACATAAGCGCACCAACGTGCCTACCGTCCCTGTCCTATTGTTTCTTTTATTTTTCTTATATGTATCTCATTTCATGTATTCATAACTATGTTTATACTTTTACCTATTATCTTGTAAGCAATTGACAAATCAAATAAATAATAAAATAAATAGGATGGGCTCCAGTACAAGTCCAAATACTTAGAAGAATAAATCTCTGATCCTGATGACTAACTCAGATTGAATCCTGCATTCATTATTCATTTTATTATGTCCTGTTTATAGTCATGATCTTGTACTGTCTCATGTTCATGACTAGAAGGAGCATGATAGCAGGAAATAAGACACCAGAAGTCACAGCCAGAAGTCACAGTTTATACCAAGGGTCTTCAAACTTGGCAAGTTTAAGACTTGTGGACTTCAACTCCCAGAATTCCTGAGCTAACATGAGTGGAGGAGGAATTCTGGGAGTTGAAGAAATTCACAAGTCTTAAAGCTGTCAAGGTCGAAGACCCCTGGTTTATAACCTGCCTGCTAAAAAAAAACAGGACAGTGGAGGGATTAAAATTCAGCATCTTGAGAACAGCAACTTTTAAAAAAAATCTGCTGCTTTCCATGGCCTAAAAATGCCCACTTCCAATTAAAACATATTGCAGTAAGAAGGGTTTATAAATGCAGAAGGGTTGTGATCATCTTCTTGGAAGAGATGTAGGTGAAAGAAGATGACATGTCGCCTTTAAGAACAAACACTACTGTGAGAAAGGCAGATCCAAAAACAAGTCTGCATTTTTACTTGCAGGAGACAAAACGTACATGATTTTCCAGGTAAGAATGATTTAACTAACCAATAGCCCAGCTTTAGAGCAGTGTTTCTCAACATTGGCATCTTCAAGATGTGTGGACTTCAACTCCCAGAATTCCATAGCCGTCCATGGGAAAATCTGGGAGTTGAAGTCCACACGTCGTCAAGGTTGAGAAACAGTTTTAGAAGTTTCGCAGAGATGCTGTGGGGAAAACAAAGAGGAAGAACTTGTGAATTTCAGCATTTACTAAAAGACAGATGAAAGGAAGGAACTGATGACAATGGCCACCAGATTGCTCCATCCCAGAAGTCTGGCCGTCAGGAAACAGCTGATGAATAGATGGCAGACAAACATGTATCACTCTTCTTAATGTACAGCATTTAGTCTGGCACAGAATTACACATTCCCCCATCAGATTTGATTCTTTTAAAATATATACATAACAGAGGTGGTATTCAGCAGGTTCTGACCAGTTCTGGAGAACCGGTAGCAGAAATTTTGAGTAGTTCGGAATACTCCCTCTGACTGGCCCCGCCCCCATCTATTCTCTGCCTCCAGAGTCCCAGCTGAATGGCTCAGTCTTCTTTTGTTGCCCTGCACAGGAGAACGGAGCTGGAAAGCAGGTTAGTGGGGTGGGGAGGGAATGGAGATTTTGTAGTATCTTTATTCCATAACCAAAAGTAATATTTACTTTAGATTACTTTATTGTCATTGCACCTCATACAATGAAATTAAATACCATCTTCAGTGTACATTATGACTATGAATATAAACACAAACACACATCCTTACATTCTATACATTGAATTGAAAACCCCTGATATTGCATTAATATTGTACTATACAGTAGAATACAATAGAGTTACTGCCCTGGGATAGAAGCTGTTTTTCAGCCTATTTGTCCTTGATTTATTATCCTGTACCATCTGCCAGATGGTAATAGTTAAAAAAAAAAAAGAGTGCCCAGGATGAGATGGATCTTTGAGAATGTTTTGAACTTTCTTAAGGCAGCAGGAGCTATAAACAGGGGTGGGATTCTACAGGTTCGCACCTATTTGCTAGAACCGGTTGTTAACATTCTAAGCAGTTCGGAGAACAGGTTGTTGGAAGAAATTACTGGCCTAATCCTGTAAGAAAGGCAGGAAGGAAACATTCTGGTGTTGCTTACAGAAACTGCCTCTCCATTAACTCTTATTACATTCTTGGCAGGACTAGACTTCCTGTCTCAGTAACGTCTCTGGAGTTTTTTCCCCCTCCTTTGCTGGTACTTTGCTTGTGTGGAGTGACCATTCAAAGTTACAATGGCACTGAAAAAAGTGACTTATGACCATTTTTCACACTTACGACTGTTGCAGCATCCCTACAGTTTTGAGAGGCCAGGCCAGAAGATGTGTGCCTCGATGTGAGTGATATTAAGTTGGCCACACCCAGCCAATAACATGACCACCAAGCCATGTCCACCCAGTCACATGACCACCAAGCCACACCCACTGCCTAAGCCATGCCCACAGAACCTGTTGTTAAAAAATTTGAATCCCACCTCTGGCTATAAAGCTCTTCCAAAGAGGGGAGGGGAACCAATGATCTTCTGGGCAATGACGTTAACCCCAGGAATGGAGAGGGAATGGAGAAATATACAGTATCCTTCCCCTACCACGCCCACCAAGCCACACCCACAAAGCTATGCCACGCCCACCAAGCCACACCCACCAAGCCATGCCACGCCACCAAGCCACACCCACCAAGCCATGCCACACCACCAAGCCACACCCGCCATGCCATGCCACCAAGCCACACCCACCAAGCCATGCCACGCCACCAAGCCACACCCACCAAGCCATGCCACGCCACCAAGCCACGCCCACAGAACCAGTAGTAAAACATTTTGAATCCCACCACTGATACATAAGTAATCTTGGCATGGACCCAGCAGCCATCTCTTAAGAGGAAAAGGTGGGCAAGCTCTCTGAGGCTTAGAATATGGCACTTGTAGATGGGGAACATCCTGCCTATCTTCCACTGCTCTTCTTCCCCCATTTCCCCACTGCCAAACTGATACGCAAAGGAGGCCGCTTCCTATCAGCTTTATTGCAGTGGTCTCCTGTTCCTCTGGGTGAAAAATAAAGAAAAACCCACCGATCAACCACAACTTTGCTTGCCTTTTAAACTCTGCAACAGCCAGATAAATTAACATTCCCCACCCACCTTTTCAAAGAGGCTGACACCTGCAAGGGAATGGTACCAATTCTTAGATCTTTCTTCTTCCTGTTTCTTGCTCTTCTTTGTACTAAATCCTTGCTGAATTCAAAATTATGTCAAGAACAACTCCCCCACCCCACTTCCGTTATCTTCATCCCTGGTCAGCAGTAGCAATGGCAAAGGATGATGGTTCCATTTTGAAAGGAGAACTCCTTGCCCAAAGACCTTGCTGAATTCTGCCCGCCTCTTCCATCATTCCTAATGAAAATATTAAAATCATCGTTTTCTTGAATGCAAACGAATATTAGATTCATTTTGGATGTCAGCTTTCTTCAGAGCTTGCAAAGCTAGAAGACATAAATTTGGTTATGAAGCGTGGCAACTAGCAAATTAGAAGAATTGTTTTTTTACTTATACTATATAAATACAGTATATTTGCCCACAGGTCTGACCAAATATAAACTGTTAAAACAATTGTGATTTATCCTTATTTGCTTTTGGTGTCACTTTTTGTCCAAGGTTCTCCACTTAATTAATTGATTAATTTTGTTTGTGACAGCTTAACTCTACCGAGCATTTTTATCATGAAGCAAAGTTGTTTAAGAAACCAAGTTTCACTATTAGGTCATTTTCTAATTTGTTATCTAATGTAGTTATTTCCAAGATGCACATTTTTGCTTCATTTCACAATTTAACACTCACTTCCCACAAGTGGCTGGCTTATAACATTCCATGCATTCTGTGAAATTTAGCTTAGTGTGTTCAAAGAGAAAGAATACAAAGGATATACAAAGCAGAAGGACATGGAAGACCTGCCTAAAAACATCCAAGCTGCAGGCCAGGAAATCCAACTATGCTCTATTTTCCATAGATCTGGATTGAAGGCAGAATACTTTCCAGCTCTTTTTGAAACATATGGCCTAACTGGTGACAGCCACCGACCGTATTTCTCTTCTATTGAGAAATCTTTCTAAGAAGGGGTCTGCCAGCCAGAGTTCTCTTGATTCCATTTCACGTCAGTTCTAGAAGATCACTGTTAAATATAATCTTCTTTCTCCCAGATAAAGAGAGAATCTTGAGTCCTCTTCTAAAAGTAGAAAAAGTGGAGATTGCATGAAGATCTAAGACAGACCTGCTATTTTTTTAAGAGTGAGCAACATAGGAAATCTG